GTATTCTGCCGGATTCTTACGTGCTTATGAACACAATGGTGCCATAAATAGGCGCCAGCAGCCCTCTCCGCACTTCGCAGCTGGTTCTGCAGAGTATCTGCTCCTTCTTCTGCACTCTCCTGCCGAATTCTGCTTATTCTGCTCCTTTTCTAAAATATCCCATATTCTGCTCGAAATTCTGCTGGCATTATCCGCCAGGGCCTAGTGGTGCTGGTAGAGGTATTTTCGGGAGGGGGTGCTTGCAGAGGTATTTCTGGAGGGGGTGCTTGTAGAGGGGGGGGGATTGGTGCTTGTAGAGGTATTTCCAGGGGGGGGGGGGGGTGGGGTGCTTGCAGAGGTATTTCTGGAGGGGGGGGGGGGGTGCTTGTAGAGGGGGGGGGGGGATTGGTGCATGTAGAGGTATTTCCAGGGGGGGGGGGGGGGGTGCTTGTGGAGCTACATGACATGGACTTCCTCCGCGTCATTAAAATTGTCGCTTATCAGAGCGCTATTTCAAATCTATTTTGTCCACTCGAAGGGCACAGAAATCAGCTAGAAATTGTGGCAGAACATTGTCGACGACTCGACGGACCAAGCTTTAACCCATTCAACGCTAAAGACGTATATATACGTCTTTTTCAATGCCAAATAAGGAGTGCAGAGCCTGGGTGCTATGACCTATAGCCTTAAATGTGTTAATTTGTGGCCTCCCGCTTACGGTCGACGTCTTCATCAGTGTTTGAGGCAGACTCTTTAGCACTCAACAATACGCTGAACAAGACACGCGTTCAAATTCAGGTCAAGAAACTTCGTTTTCAAGCGGTCCATGACTCCTGGTAGCAGGCGATGACGGCAAACTAGCCTTTTTCAAGTACATTGTAACAACCTTCCAGCGGGATAGGGTAAGCAGTTCCGCACCTTCTTTCCTTGGCACCATCGCCAATAAGAGAAAGGTTTATGAGAAGGTGAGATGCTGTAGATGTAGGCCCTGTTGCTAGATTCAACCATGTTCATACACTATTTCCTTGGCTTTGCACTCTCCCTGCAGTGAGCAGAACTCCTTGTGTTCGTGCACTGTTTCCTTGGCTTGGCACTCTCCCTGCAGTGAGCAGAACTCCTTGTGTTCATACACTATTTCCTTGGCTTGGTACTCTCCCTGCAGTGAGCAGGATTCCTTGTGTTCGTACACTTTTTCCTTGGCTTGGCACTCTCCCTGCAGTGAGCAGAACTCCTTGTGTTCATACACTATTTCCTTGGCTTGGCACTCTCCCTGCAGTGAGCAGGATTCCTTGTGTTCGTACACTATTTCCTTGGCTTCGCACTCTCCCTGCAGTGAGCAGGATTCCTTGTGTTCGTACACTATTTCCTTGGCTTGGCACTCTCCCTGCAGTGAGCAGGATTCCTTGTGTTCATACACTATTTCCTTCGCTTGGCACTCTCCCTGCACTGAGCAGGATTCCTTGTGTTCGTACACTATTTCCTTGGCTTAGCACTCTCCCCGCAGGGAGCAGGATTCCTTGTGTTCGTACACTGTTTCCTTGGCTTGGCACTCTCCCCGCGGTGAGCAGGATTCCTTGTGTTCGTACACTGTTTTCTTGGCTTGGCACTCACCCTGCAGTGAGCAGTATTCTTTGTGCTCGTACACTATTTCCTTGGCTTGGCACTCACCCCGCAGTGAGCTGGATTCCTTGTGTTCATACACTATTTCCTTGGCTTGGCACTCTCCCCGCACTGAGCAGGATTCCTTGACTCTGGAGTTACATGCTTTAGTTTGCTCGGGCTGTCGCAGGTTATTCTCATGAGGGCTGCTGATCATGTTAAGCACACATGTTAAGCACACAGCTGTAGCTCACTTTCAGGGTATTGCGATTGAAGATCTTCCGGAGCTTTGATGTCTTCGGGAAGTGCTTGGAAACAAACCTGAGGAATCTACCGCCGACATTAGTACTCAGGTTCTTGGAGTAAGGGAGGGGATGGAGGGGGCGGAGGGGGGGGGGGTTAACCATAAAACCCTCAGGCTACGGCTCTTCCTGCTCCGCTGCTCTTGTGCATCGGACTGATAGCCCAAGATATCTGTTTATCCACTAGACTACAGTGAGCTATAGGTACATGGTGCTGCAGGGTTGAATGCCTCAATGCCTCACTGGTCCATATTGGGGAAATATGCTTGTTGACAGGAGCAGGTATTTTGTTGGTGATCCCGGGCGGATGGTTGATCTGTTTGCTATCGTAGAGGAGGTTGTCATTTGGCTTTCGGAGAGGTTGAAATTTCCCCATATCCAGGTTCATGGTGATATCCAAGAAATCCACTAATGTATTAAAGTTTGGTTCGATAGTCATTCCCAGGTCAAAGCGCTTGAAATCTACATCCACGTTGTTTGAGAGCTAGTTGAGCTGAAACGTGCCCACAAGCTTACAGGTCTTGCACCATCATAGCCAATCGTTAGATGGAACATACAGTCAACTTCGCTAATAACGACTGCGGATATAACGACAATTCGCGAATAGCGACAGAATTTCCATGCCCAGAGCAAAGTCCCATCCAACTGTAATACATATAATGAGACTTCGGATAAAAGGACACTTCGCGAATAAGGACACTTTTCTGATGCCCCGCCGAGTGTCGTTATAAGCGAAGTTGACTGTATATTGTCCTTGTCTTATATCCAGGAATGGCCGCTATCATAAAAAGGAGCAATTTTCGGCCGTGAATGATGTCCGTATCTTGCTGCTTGATTGGAGTGAACTGCTGTGCAAACGATAGAGCAGAGAACAAATGATTCGCTCACCAATCAAGGGGTAAAATTCTACCACATCAAAGCATAGGAACGTGGCCTGTGCTGCTTGTCTGCTATCTCCTTAATTAGACCACTCAATCACATGACAGGACATACAGGACATACAGGACATACAGGACACACAGGACATACAGGACATACAGGACATACAGGACACACAGGACATACAGGACATACAGGACATACAGGACACACAGGACATACAGGACATACAGGACATACAGGACATACAGGACATGCAGGACACACATGACATACAGGACATACAGGGCACCACATGTTCTGGCCTACGGGTGATAGCCTGCATGACGTACATACGGCATGCAGCGCATACGGTCACAAGTGTACAGTGGTTTACGCATAACAGTCAGAATATTACTACATCTCCCCTTTTAAGGCGCGCAACAAAAAAAAAGAGAGAGAGAGAGAGAGAGAGAGAGAGAGAGAGAGAAGAGAGAGAGAGAGAGAGAGAGAGAGAGAGAGAGAAAGAGAGAGAGAGAGAGAGAGAGAGCAAAGCAGGAAAAAAGCTAAAGACAAAAGAGTGGCGCAAAATGGCTAATAGAATCTGTCAAGACTGTGCCATGTGAAGAGAAAAAGAGTCTGAGAGACATTATGCAAGTATCCTGGCAAACAATCTCAAGGAATAATAGAGTTCAGCATACTCGGCCGGACTTGGCCGGGTTAATGAGTCTGTAGGGCAGCGCTCTAGCAAAGTTGTCCTTATCGTCTTTGAGCACTATTATTTAATGCTTCTGACTTATCCAGTATGTACATGGCAAGATTTGGACCTTCTGTGCTCTCCTTTGCCTCGCTGCTGACTTCATCGTATGCTTGCTCAGGCGCGATCTTAGAGTTTTGTTGCTATTATCTTTCATCAGCTTACTGTATTGCTCTTTGGTACTTGCTACAGGTTCTGGATTTTATCGGCTTTCACGTTGATTTCCTGAACTGGAATTGCAATAATTATTATGAATTGCTATTATAAAGAGAAATGGAGTGAGAAGAAACAACACCTATGAAAATGATAATCCTAGCACTAAGGTAATAACAGGAGAACATGGGAAGAAAGAACAAATGTGATATGGAGAAAATGATGAACAAAAAATCGTACTTCGAACTAGTTTTCGCACAACACAAGGACCTTTCTTCCCCCCGCCTTTTTAAGAGCCTTGTCGCGCCTTGATTTTGATTTTGTGTTTCTGATTTGGTTGCAATCACTGCTTATCCATGCCGGTTCCTTTTTCTTCTCCTCCCCTTCTCCCTGCCTTGCCGTGGTTGGCTAACACCCTCTCTCTTTGTATTGGCCGGTGTTCTCACTGTGCCATGAGATGCTGTAATAAATAAATAAATAAATAAATAAATAAACACTCCTCAGGAAGCTACGTTGTACTAATGAAAAACAATCCAGAAAGATACTAATAAAGGTGTCGTTTCTTCTCACTCCATTTCTCTTTATTAGTATCTTTCTGGATTGTTTTTCATTAGTACAACGTAGCTTCCTGAGGAGTGTTGTGCGAAAACTAGTTCGAAGTACGATTTTTTGTTCATCATTTTCTCCATATCACATTTTTTCTTTCTTCCATGTTCTCCTGTTATTACCTTAGTGCTAGGATTATCATTTTCATAGGTGTTGTTTCTTCTCACTCCATTTCTCTTTATTAGTATCTTTCTGGATTGTTTTTCATTAGTACAATTGCTATTATGTTAACCTTTACACCCTGGCCATATTTTTGATTCTGGTTATCAGATTTCCATAACCTTGGCCTGTATAGAAAGATCCCTCCCCCTGCATAGAGAACAATGAGCCCAATCTCAACACCACACTTGTCACATATCAAATACTGCAGCGCCTCGAATAGTCTACCCAGCTGAATATACCAGCAAATTCCCTCGATGCCAGCCATTTCACACTGATTCATCGCAGAATGCTCCAATTGCAACGCTCCATTGTAGCCCGTTGGCAATTGTTGCATTGGAGAGCTGCGCTGCTCTCCTTCTTTCCTGGTATTTTGATTGTGAACTTTCATCAAGAACGGTATAAGTTGTGAGCATTTCAGTGCAAGCAACTACATCGACCAAAAACAGATGATTTTGTATGGTCTTGTATCAGAGGGTTAAACTATCTTCTCCACGCTGCTTTTTTATACATTTTTCCCTGCTGACAATCTTCATTGCCTGCTCTGTTGTGTGGTTTCATGTTTGTCTTTTACCCGATTTACGCAGACTGCATCTCCACTGGAAGAATCTATGGGTGATTCTGCAGGCCTCGTTGCCACTATACTGGACACTGTGAGAAGTGTGTCAACTGCCGTACGGGATCTCTCCACATCTCAGCAGCAACTAGGTACCAGGTTGGATAATCTCTCTGCACAGGTTGAAGTCACCAACAACCGCATGACTCAGGTCCAGCAGGAGGTCTCTGCTGAAGCTCGCACAACCAACGACAAGATGGATGAAATACAACTGGAAGCCCGGACTAGCTATGAACAAGTGGCACAGCTGAGCGACACAATGGCGAGAGGTAAATCATTTGCTCTCAACATTTCTGCTGAAATGATGTTAACTCTCCGATGTAGTGTCATCATGAAGCAGGGAATGTTGGTTGAAACACAAGTGGGGAAATCCCTGCCCACACAACCCTATCTAAAAATGGGAAATTCTGGCACCAGGGTTTCTTCTCCCTGTACAATGATCTGCTTTTAGGTTTGTCAGATCGCATGAAAGAAGTCAAAAATTGCCCATTGGGTGATCCATCGTCGACAGAGCAAAGACCTACAGCAGCATCACAAACAGGTCCCCGCTCAAGTTACCCCCCCCCCCCCAGTATAGCCTTCCACTCACCTGCACTTGGCGCCTCCTACCCACCCGAACCAATTGTTGTACAGACTCCCCACTGTACAAGTCCCTATAATACTATTGTAGTGACAGACTCCACACTGTACAAGTCCCTATAATACTATTGTAGTGACAGACTCCCCACTGTACAAGTCCCTATAATACTATTGTAGTGACAGACTGCACACTGTACAAGTCCCTATAATACTATTGCAGTGACAGACTCCACACTGTACAAGTCCCTATAATACTATTGTAGTGACAGACTCCCCACTGTACAAGTCCCTATAATACTATTGTAGTGACAGACTCCCCACTGTACAAGTCCCTATAATACTATTGTAGTGACAGACTCCCCACTGTACAAGTCCCTATAATACTATTGTAGTGACAGACTCCCCACTGTACAAGTCCCTATAATACTATTGTAGTGACAGACTCCCCACTGTACAAGTCCCTATAATACTATTGTAGTGACAGACTCCCCACTGTACAAGTCCCTATAATACTATTGTAGTGACAGACTCCCCACTGTACAAGTCCCTATAATACTATTGTAGTGACAGACTCCCCACTGTACAAGTCCCTATAATACTATTGTAGTGACAGACTCCCCACTGTACAAGTCCCTATAATACTATTGTAGTGACAGACTCCCCACTGTACAAGTCCCTATAATACTATTGTAGTGACAGACTCCCCACTGTACAAGTCCCTATAATACTATTGTAGTGACAGACTCCCCACTGTACAAGTCCCTATAATACTATTGTAAAGTCACATGAGCTTATCAGTGAGTGTTTTGCGTTATTTGCTTTTTTTGCGGGTCGTTTTGTCTCACACATAGGCGCATGCGCTTGAGTTGCAAGTGTACCGGTACCATGCACAATTATGCACATATGCACATTTAACCATGTGAACATGGTGTTTTTGTGGTGTGTGTATGTCACGGGGTGGACTGCATCTAGGTTCACTTAGAAGCCCATGCGCTTATTTGTGAGGGCGCGCTTATGCCCGGCACATATAGGCACATGCGCTTTTATGCGCGTCACAACGGTACGATGCCCTCCCTGCTAGCATTCGTGATGTTCCCTCCATCCCTGCTTTCAAACAAGAAACCTGCTCACTGCTGATTAACTCCGTCTGCTCCTGCAATGCACGCCCTCCCCCATACTTGCAAAATTCAAAGTGGCATACATTACTTTCCAACTGCATAACCCACTGCCCCACTCACAGCATCTCACCTTCTCATAAACTGATCTCTTATTGGCGATGGTGCCATCGTGAGAATAAAGAATTCAAAGGTGCGGTCTGTACTTAGCTGAAAAGGAGAAGATGGATCCGCACTGATGCATCCACGCTTCTAAACAAAAACAAAAAAATGTCAAAATATGGACATTAGAATAAGTGAAAACTCTCGAGCACGACAATTCGCGAATAGCGACAGAATTTCCATGCCCAGAGCAAAGTCCCATCTAACTGTATTAAAAAAAGATGTCCGCAGATTGAGTAACTGTACTTCGGTTATCAGGACACTTCGCGAATAAGGACACTTTTCTGATGCCCCGCCAAGTGTTGTTATACCCAAAGTTGACTTAAGTCAACTGGCCGCCATTGCTGAGACTTGACTTTCACCTCTCCTTCTTTTCAACTCACATGTAAATTGACACCATCCGCATCATGTCTCGCTAACTTTAATGTTAGACTAAACTAGTTGCCTGGAAATATGTTTGCAGCCAGGTGATGTAGAGGTTATCAGTTGTCTGTGATGTGGAGGTTATCAGTGGTCTGTGATTGCCTTAGTCACCCCTTCACCCTCAATACCTGCGTCCCTCCTATCATTGTCGACTGGTACAGCCCAAGTGAGGAAATATCTCCGTAATCTGAAAACTGGCAAGTCCCCTGGTCAAGACGGAATTACCAACGAAGTTTGGAGAGCTCTTGCTCCGTCTGTTGCCTATCCTGTGTCAATTATCTTGAATATGTCATTTCGTGAAGGGAAATTCCCAGGCATGTGGAAAACTGCGGTAGTCGTGGCCACCTACAAAAATAGAGGACCACGCACCACCCCCAGCAACTATCGCCCTATCTCATTGCTCTCTACTTTATCAAAAGTGTGCGAACGTGTTGTATATGACATCATTTATGATCATGTTCGCATTTCACTTTCGCCAGCACAGTCGGGCTTTTGTCGGGGTGACTCCACCAGGTACCAGGTTACCCGCCTCGTGCAAGACATCCACACCGCCCGGAACGCCCATAACCATGTTGTTGGTTTAGTTTTCTTCGATCTCGCAAAGGCCTTCGACACTGTTTGGCACAGGGGTCTCTTAGCTAAGCTGCGAACAGTATATCGCATTGATGGCAAGGCTATCGGCTGGCTCTCATCGTATCTCTCTAACCGACATCAGCTTGTACGCCTCTCAACTGTGTTATCGGAGCCTTTACCCGTTACTTCTGGAGTCCCCCAGGGTTCAATCCTTGGGCCACTGCTATTTCTCCTGTATATTAATGACCTCCCCGATACTGCCCCTGGTGTCAGCCTTTTCGCTGACGACACAGCTCTGCTTTGCTCCAATGCTTGCCCTATACGCCTGCACGAAGCCATGCAAGATAGCATTGGGAAAGTTATAACCTGGATGCATGATTGGAAGTTGCAGCCAAACGTTGATAAAACGGCAGCTATGTACATTTCCCCTTCTCCCCCTTCCCTGCCACTTTGTTTTCCTTCTTCAAGTGTTGCTATTCGCATTGTTGAAGAGCATAAGCATCTTGGCGTTATTATTGACTCTAAATTGTCGTGGTCACCCCATGTGCAGTATGTCTGCAAGCGCACAAGCTCCATCCTTGGGGCTCTTCAAGCCCACTGTAGACATCTTCCTCTTTCTTGCAAACGCTTGTTTTATCGTTGCTATATATTGCCCTTACTTGACTACTGTGATACTGCTTGATGTGGCATAACTACTACTGTATTGAACAAGCTAGAAACCCATAACCGCATGCTCCTTAAAATCTTATTTAGCAAAGATCGTCGCTTTCCCTCCGCTAGTCTTTACGAAATTGCCAAGATCAGTCCCCTTTCCACTCGACATAAGTACCACCTCTGTGTTCTCATACATAAAATATTACTAAATAAAATACCCTTGCATATGCAGGCTTATAATTGGTTCTCCGAAACACGGAACACCCGGAACTCACTCAGTCTCCCACGCGCTGCCTCCACCCTATTCACTAGATCCCCGATCTTTGCTGGCTATGTGTTTTGGGCAACATTACCAACGCAGGCCAAGACCAGCACGTCGATGGATAATTTTGTTGCTAAAATCTCTGCTCAATTATAGGTTTCATGTATATCCTGCTGGTTTGTCTCCTCCTTTGCCTTCTTTGCCTCTTATTTGTATTCTTTTATCTGTTTTACTGCTGTGGTTGGCTTTCACCCTTGTCTCAGTTTTATTGGCCGTCATCATGATGTGCCATGAGATAATGATATAAATACAAAAAAAAGTCTTGCTATGCGCATCAAACAGAGCGTTACAACAATGATATAGCCGGTTGTCTCTGTTTTCTCTGACTTGGGGGCGGTGTATGTGTGCGTGTGTGTGTGTGTGTGTGTGTGTACGTGCGTGCACATGTGTGCATGTGTGCGTGCACATGTGTGCATGTGTGCGTGCACATGTGTGCATGTGTGCGTGCACATGTGTGCGTGCACATGTGTGCATGTGTGGGTGCATATGTGTGCATGTGCGTGTGTTTTGTGGGAAGGTGTTTGTCTGCTGTGTGTGTGTGTGTGTGTGTGTGTTTGTGTGTGTGTGTGTGTGTGTGTGTGTGTGTATGTGTGTTTGTGTGTGTGTGTGTGTGTGTGTGTGTGTGTGTGTGTGTGTGTGTGTGTGTGTGTGTGTGTGTCTGTGTGTGTGTGTGTCTGTGTGTGTGTGTGTGTGTGTGTCTGTGTGTTTGTACACATGTATTATGTGTTTGTGTGTGTTTGTGTGTGTGTTTGTGTGTGTGTGTGTGTGTGTGTGTGTGTGTGTGTGTGTGTGTGTGTGTGTGTGTGTGTGTGCGTCTGCGTGTTTGTACACATGTATTATGCGTGTGTGTGTGTACTTGTGCATTCGTACATGGGTGCATACACATGTGTGTGCATGTGAGAGAGTGTTTATGTGTGCCTATCTTATCATGAATATAGGTGAACAAGATACAACTGCAGCATGTGAACGCATAGTGGAAATGCAAAACCAGACCAACACAACTGTCCGTCACCTACAGGAGCAAAGTGCTACAAGTTCCACAAGCATTGGACAACTACTGGAGCAAAGTGCTACAAGTACCACAAGCATTGGACAACTACTGGAGCAAAGTGCTACAAGTACCACCAATATTAGTCAACTGCAACAGCACCAGCAAGACACTAGTGATAAGCTTTCACGTGTCTCAGCAGCTGTTACCACCATTCAACAAGGTGAGTACATTTTTTTCAAAGTCTCCAGTAAAATATCAATAAACTGTTGAACGGTACCTTTCCCCTGTTGAATAATACAAGAAACTAACTCTCCTACTCCATGCGCTCTAAAGCTGACCATTGCTACCCTCGGTAGCCATTACTCACACCAATAACTTCAAACAACGAAGGGGTCACGGGTAAAAAATTTCCTTCTTCTTAGGTGATTGTGTTTGTGTGTGTGTGTGTGTGTGTGTGTGTGTGTGTGTGTGTGTGTGTGTGTGTGTTTGTATATATATGTGTGTTTGTGTGTGTACTTGTGCATTCGTACATGGGTGCATGCATTGGTGTGCATTTGAGAGAGTATTTATGTGCACCTATCTTATCATGTATATAGGTGAACAAGATACAACTGCAGCATGTGAACGCATAGTGGAAATGCAAAACCAGACCAACACAACTGTCCGCCAACTACAGGAGCAAAGTGCTACAACCTCCACAAGCATTGGACAACTACTGGAGCAGCAGCAAGACACTAGTGATAAGGTTTCACGTGTCTCAGCAGCTGTTACCACCATTCAACAAGGTGAGTACATTTTTCCAAGGTCTACAGTAAAACCTATAACTAAAGATCAGTGTGACTAGTGACCAGTCTATCCCTACTGACCAGTGTGACTAGTGACCAGTCTACCCCTACTGACCAGTGTGACTAGTGACCAGTCTATCCCTACTGACCAGTGTGACTAGTGACCAGTCTACCCCTACTGACCAGTGTGACTAGTGACCAGTCTATCCCTACTGACCAGTGTGACTAGTGACCAGTCTACCCCTACTGACCAGTGTGACTAGTGACCAGTCTATCCCTACTGACCAGTGTGACTAGTGACCAGTCTATCCCTACTGACCAGTGTGACTAGTGACCAGTCTATCCCTACTGACCAGTGTGACTAGTGACCAGTCTACCCCTACTGACCAGTGTGACTAGTGACCAGTCTATCCCTACTGACCAGTGTGACTAGTGACCAGTCTATCCCTACTGACCAGTGTGACTAGTGACCAGTCTATCCCTACTGACCAGTGTAACTAGTGACCAGTCTATCCCTACTGACCAGTGTGACTAGTGACCAGTCTACCCCTACTGACCAGTGTGACTAGTGACCAGTCTATCCCTACTGACCAGTGTGACTAGTGACCAGTCTATCCCTACTGACCAGTGTGACTAGTGACCAGTCTACCCTTACTGACCACCGAGGTAGAATAAGGACACTTTTTCTGGTGCCGCTGTACTTCAAGATCAGCGCTGCAACTCGCCATGGTGATAATGCGGCTGACGTCACGTTACCAAGGAAAAAATGGCGTTTGGCCGTGTTCGCCGCACTTGAGCGCTCTGCCTTTTTCAAAATCTTATTTTGAAGAAAACCTCCAGTCTTTTTCAGCACTTGGATTGGAGGCCAGTCACATCGCCATCTGTACGAGGATCTTTATCACGGCCATGGTCTTGTGTCGTTTTGAACTCGAATAGCTTTCTCTGATGAAGTATTCAGATATCATGACGTTCTCTTTTATCGTGGGCATGAAGCTCCCTACTCGCAGGGGGGATGACATCGGACGGAATACCGTAAAAGCCTCTGTATAACCCCATTCACCAAGGCATATGGCCGATTAGTTTGCAGGCCTGCCTGCGAATCATGAGGTCCCGAGTTCAAGACCCGCGCTGGTAGCAGGGAGCATGTAAAAAGACTTCTGAACTGCGCCGACACCCACGGTCAACTGGGTACTCACAGCTCGGAGTGAGAAAAAACAAAGATTTAGTTTACAGGGTCATGGGCCGTTACACGCCCGATTGGTTGAGAGGCTAACCTCCTCTCCTCTGACTCAATTGTGATGTCTGCATTCGCCACTAAGGTTAATAGGCATAGTGGTGGCCTGCGGATGCGAAGGCTAGTTTGTGTGTTTCTGAACGAACATTCAAGCGATGCCGACGCTGATCCCGCGAATATTATAACCCCACTCGAAGTTACGCCCACCCTCCGTGTACACGCCTAGTCAGGGGAAGTCAAAAGTTTTGTTTCAAAATAGCACCCATGCCCTTGTATACGCCCAGGTATGACGGCAACACCAGTACATGTACAGGTACTGATACCCAATACTTACTGCTATCCCAAAATCCCAGTATACGCCCGGTTCCAAAATAACGCCCCTGCCCTTGTATACGCCCAGGAAACCGAGGCTGTTATTCTATACGCCCAGGGCCGATACACGGGCTTTTACGGTAAATGTGTTGAGTCGCGAGCAGGAGTTCTGCTGACAAAAGTGATTAGCTCGGCGTGACCTGGGTCACGTGAGGACTCCAGTTCTAGTTGGGCAATACCCCACGCACACATCTACTGTGTTCTGATCTAGCTCAAAGCGCGGAGTCGATTGAGAAAAATGACCAACATCATAAAGAAGGCTTGTTTGCTTCCACAACATGTTTTAGTAGCGGAGTCCATGTACAGCACAGTAGCATGCACTACATGTACAGCACAGCATGCACTACATGTACAGCACAGCATACACTACATGTACAGCACAGCATGCACTACATGTACAGCACAGCATACACTACATGTACAGCACAGCATACACTACATGTACAGCACAGCATGCACTACATGTACAGCACAGCATGCACTACATGTACAGCACAGCATGCAATACATGTACAGCACAGCATGCACTACATGTACAGCACAGCATACACTACATGTACAGCACAGCATGCACTACATGTACAGCACAGCATGCACTACATGTACAGCACAGCATGCACTACATGTACAGCACAGCATGCACTACATGTACAGCACAGCATGCACTACATGTACAGCACAGCATGCACTACATGTACAGCACAGCATACACTACATGTACAGCACAGCATGCACTACATGTACAGCACAGCATGCACTACATGTACAGCACAGCATGCACTACATGTACAGCACAGCATGCACTACATGTACAGCACAGCATACACTACATGTACAGCACAGCATGCACTACATGTACAGCACAGCATGCACTACATGTACAGCACAGCATGCACTACATGTACAGCACAGCATGCACTACATGTACAGCACAGCATGCACTACATGTACAGCACAGCATGCACTACATGTACAGCACAGCATGTACTACATGTACAGCACAGCATGCACTACATGTACAGCACAGCATGCACTACATGTACAGCACAGCATGCACTACATGTACAGCACAGCATGCACTACATGTACAGCACAGCATGCACTACATGTACAGCACAGCATGCACTACATGTACAGCACAGCATGCACTACATGTACAGCACAGTATGCACTACATGTACAGCACAGCATGCACTACATGTACAGCACAGCATACACTACATGTACAGCACAGCATACACTACATGTACAGCACAGCATGCATCCAAGTAGCTTCACAGTAATTAGTATGTGTAGGAGACAATGTGGCTATTTTGAAACAGCAATGACAGCTTCATCCATAAACGAGGAGCGTGGGGAATGTCTTTGGCGAATGAGAGCTGTTGCATTGGCTAGCTGTACATTCCAGCAAGCGCAAATGTGCTGGATATCGATGCTAAACACCCGTTTGTGGCGGTGGTGAGTCTCAGCAGACCCCGAGGTACGACTGCTTCGTATACTAAATGTGTACAGTGCGTATGGTGAAACAAGTCGACACTGGTTTCCAGCGAAATGTTATTTATGTACGATATCCACCAATATGCTTTATCTAGGGCCCAAACACTATCCAATTCATCAGGATTTGTGGCCTTACTATTTTTCGTTTTCTCCGTGTTTTGGGTTGAAATCTGAACATAAAAGTAGCACTGAGGAATGCGAACCCTGAAGTGAGGCGAGGGGACGAAGCCATTCCTGTTGCAGCTGGGCCAGGGGAATCTGATGATGAGAGACCTCACGAAGAACCGGCACGCAGTCCTGTTGAAGCGGAACCTGTTGTCCAGGTCGAAGAGCAACCGGTTGCCCAGGTTGACAAGTCAACCGCCATGAACTGCTCAAGCTATTTTTCGGCAAGACACCCCGAAGAATAGTATCATATTCTGTACGTAGGCCATGATGTTTTAAGCAATGCTATTATTATTATAAAGTAATCAGGCATTAGTAATGCAGCATTAGTAATGCAGCATTACTAATGCAGCATTATGCTAGTATTATAATTATATGATGCAATGCTATTAATAATTATATTTTCGAGTTTGTTATCGATGCCATGCCATCATGGCCGGGCAAAATTCCTGTGCAAAATTCCTGTGCAACCCTTACCCCCCCCCTCCCCCCTTGAAGGGGTCCGGTGACGCCCCTGTTTGTACACACATGATCACTTTATTATAGCTGAGCACTTTGCCAGGCATGTACGTTGTGATAATCAATACTCTATGTGACTAGCGACAACATGATGAAAGAGCAGTAACCAACTTTTCTTGTCCCATTGGGAGGGCGGGCAGGTGATTGTGTTTGTTTGTGTGTGTGTGTGTGTGTGTGTGTGTGTGTGTTTGTGTGCAAGGTTCTGGCGAGTGTCATCCAGACTCGTCTCCAGTCCATGGCTACAGATTTCCTCCCAGATTATCAGTGTGGCTTCAGGCGTGGCCGATCTTGTACAGATATGGTTTTCAGTGTTCGGCAGTTCCTCGAGAAGACCATTGAGCACGACTGCAAAGGCTTCTTTGTATTTATAGACCTCAAGAAAGCCTATGATTCCGTGCCTCGGGATTGGCTGTGGCAAGTCTCATCCAGAGCGGGTATCCCTGCTCCCATGCTTGTCGTGATCCGTTCCTTTCACACTGACATGTCGGCGGTGGTTCGGGTAGAGAACACGACAACTGACCCTATCCGCATCACGAATGGTCTCCGCCAGGGGTGCAACATGGCAACTGTGCTGTTTAACATCTTCATGTGGGCGGTGGTGACTGTGTTGCAGCGACGAGTCTGAGATTTACCCGGTGTTGGTTTTGAGTTCTAGCATTGTGATGGTGACAGTAACCTTAACCGCGAGCCTACCCGGACGGATCCGGTTGCCATTGCCACTGGGTCACAGTTTGCAGACGACTCAGCACTTTTCGCGACGACTCGTGCAGGGGCGGAGACGGCATTTGCAGTGTTTGACACGACCGCAGCTGAGTTTGGGCTTAAAGTTAGCGCTACCAAGACACAGTTCTTGGTTGCAGGCAGGGATGTTTCACCTGGGGACTGCGCTCCAATCGAGCTAGCTGGCACGGTCACCGAGTGTGTTTCGGAGTCCCAGTATCTTGGATCTCTCATTCATAGCGGTGGCCGGTCGACACAGGACATCACTGCTCGGATTGCGCATGCATCTCGTGCCTGTGACGCCTTGCAAGGAACCATCTTCAGCAATTCTGACGTCGATTTGGATATCAAGAGGTGTGTGTTTAATGCATGTATGCTGTCGCTCCTCCTCTTTGGGTCAGAGTGTTGGACACCATTGCAGCACAATCACCAACGTTTGTCAGTCTTCCATATGTGGCGCATCCGTTCCACCTTGGGTGTGTTCCGCAGAGATTGTTGGCATAATCACACAACCAACGCCCAACTGTTGGAGATGTGGGGTGACACTGATACCATCTGCGTTAAAGTTGCACAGCGTCGCCTAGAGTGGCTGGGCCATGTGGCCCGGATGGACAGTAGCTGGATGCCGAGACAGATCCTGTTTGGCTCACTTCCCACACGTCGCCCAGCACATGGCCCTCGCAAGCGCTCGAAGGATTGCGTTGTCTCCGACCTAAGAGTTCGTGGCCTCCCCAATGAATGGTACCCTATTGCCTGTGAGTCCCGCGCTGACTGGCGGGCTCTGTACGCCGAGCCTGTGGAGAATGTGCCTCAGCCTGGCCCAGTGGTATGTGCGGATTGCAATCGGTCATTCTCGCGCCCTGGAGATCGTGCTCGCCACAAATGTGTGGTTGAGCGGGCCAAGCCGACTGCTGAGTAGCAAGGGGCTTGCCACTGTGGAGATTGTGGGCGTTGGTTTTGAAGCAAGGGTGGTCTAGCTGTTCACTGCTGTTCAGCCTCCCGAAAAAGTCTATGTGCAGGATGCCTGCTGTGCTGCGCACTGTGCTGTGTGTGCCCGCTGCTTTCGGACTGCGCAAGGCCGCGGTCGTCACCGGTGCTCGAGGACTGGCCCGCGCCCAACTGCCCAGCAGCGTAATTCGTTCAGTCATGTATGCATGTGTTTTCGCCAGTTCCGTTTGCTCCACCATCTCCGGCGTCATCAGGCTGCGTGCTCCATCTTCCTCTCTGATGCCCCTCCGGGTCCCACGTGACCCCTGTGGCATTGGCTCTACAGGACAGGACAGGTGTGTGTGTGTGTGTGTGTGTGTGTGTGTGAAGCGATATTCCACGATGTAACACTGCCAATATCCATCAAAGGGTCAGCGTACAATGCTTGTGTGCTGTGGACTCTGCTCTACGGGTCCGAATGCTGGGTACCGCTACACGCAGATGTTCATGCGTTGTCTGTCTTTCATCTCCGTTGTGTCTGCACAATTCTGGGCATCAGTCGTCAAGATGTATGGAATGACAGGATAACTAATGTTGAAGTTCTGGAGCGCTGGGGAGATACCTTGGACATGGAGTGTCGTCTCAGCAGACGTCGCCTTGAGTGGCTTGGTTATGTGTCAAGGATGGAGGATGAGCGCGTCCCGAATGCTCTACTGTTCGGTTCGTTTCCAAACAAGGGACCTGCCCATGGTCCGTGGAAAAGGTGGCGAGACTGTGTTCGGAGTGACGTCAAACTACTTGACGACTGGTGTGAAGTGGCCACTTCTTCTCGCTCCAAATGGCGCAAGGCTTACCGTTGTCTGCCAGACAAGCAGAACAGACCTCGACCATCACCAGGTATGTGCCAAACTTGTCACCGCTCCTTCAGTCGTGTAAGTGACAGGAAGCGACACAAGTGTACAGCTACGCGTGCCCCACCTGTAAGCCAACAGCCAAGAAGGTGTCACTGCGACCAGTGCAGCATATGGTTCCGGAGCAAGGGTGGATTTGCCCGACACAAGTGCTCACCACCGACATCACCAGCAGAGGCATCTTCTGACACACTTGAGTCACCGGTTACGAACAATATGTCCTGCGAACGCTGCAGCTTCCACTGCACCCGCTGCAACCGCTGTGTGCCATCGCGCCAAGGCATGAAGCGTCACAAGTGCAGCCGTAGCTCGGCCAGAGCAACCAACGCAGACCGTAGCTCCTTCTGCATCGTTTGCAATTGCGTTCGGCATTTCAGTAGACCACAGGACCTATCCCGTCATCGCCCCTACTGTTCAGAACCTGCTCAACCCCCATGGGGCCCGCATAGCCAGAATATTGCATCGCGTCCAAGGTCCAAGGTGTGTGTGTGTGTATGTGTGTGAGTTAGTGTGTGTGTTTGTGTGTCTGTGTGTTTGTATATACATGTATATATGTGTGTGTGTGTGTGTACTTGTGCATTCGTACATGGGTGCATACACATGTGTGTGCATGTAAGAGAGTGTTTGTGTGTACCTATCTTATCATGTATATAGGTGAACAAGATACAACTGCAGCATGTGAACGCATAGTGGAAATGCAAAACCAGACCAACACAACTGTCCGTCAACTACATGAGCAAAGTGCTACAAGTTCCACAAGCATTGGACAACTACTGGAGCACCAGCAAGACACTAGTGATAAGCTTTCACGTGTCTCAGCAGCTGTTACCACCATTCAACAAGGTGAGTACATTTTTCCAAGGTCTACAGTAAAACCTATAACTAAAGACCAGTGTGACTAGTGACCAGTCTATCCCTACTGACCAGTGTGACTAGTGACCAGTCTATCCCTACTGACCAGTGTGACTAGTGACCAGTCTATCCCTACTGACCAGTGTGACTAGTGACCAGTCTACCCCTACTGACCAGTGTGACTAGTGACCAGTCTATCCCTACTGACCAGTGTGACTAGTGACCAGTCTATCCCTACTGACCAGTGTGACTAGTGACCAGTCTACCCCTACTGACCAGTGTGACTAGTGACCAGTCTATCCCTACTGACCAGTGTGACTAGTGACCAGTCTACCCCTACTGACCAGTGTGACTAGTGGCCAGTCTACCCCTACTGACCAGTGTGACTAGTGACCAGTCTATCCCTACTGACCAGTGTGACTAGTGACCAGTCTACCCCTACTGACCAGTGTGACTAGTGACCAGTCTATCCCTACTGACCAGTGTGACTAGTGACCAGTCTATCCCTACTGACCAGTGTGACTAGTGACCAGTCTAGTCACACTGGTCAGTAGGGGTAGACTGGTCACTAGTCACACTGGCCAGTACTGCAGTAGGGGTAGTACTAGTGGCCAGTCTACCCCTACTGACCAGTGTGACTAGTGACCAGTCTATCCCTACTGACCAGTGTGACTAGTGACCAGTCTACCCCTACTGACCAGTGTGACTACTGACCAGTCTACCCCTACTGACCAGTGTGACTAGTGACCAGTCTATCCCTACTGACCAGTGTGACTAGTGACCAGTCTACCCCTACTGACCAGTGTGACTAGTGACCAGTCTACCCCTACTGACCAGTGTGACTAGTGACCAGTCTATCCCTACTGACCAGTATGACAAGTGACCAGTCTATCCCTACTGACCAGTGTGACTAGTGACCAGTCTATCCCTACTGACCAGTGTGACTAGTGACCAGTCTACCGGTACTGACCAGTGTGACTAGTGACCAGCCTATTCCTACTGACCAGTGTGACTAGTGACCAGTCTACCCCTACTGACCAGTGTGACTAGTGACCAGTCTATCCCTACTGACCAGTATGACTAGTGACCAGTCTACCCCTACTGACCAGTGCGACTAGTGACCAGTCTACCCCTACTGACCAGTGTGACTAGTGACCAGTCCACCCCTACTGACCAGTGTGACTAGTGACCAGTCTATCCCTACTGACCAGTGTGACTAGTGACCAGTCTACCCCTACTGACCAGTGTGACTAGTGACCAGTCTACCCGTACTGACCACTGAGGTAGAATAAGGACACTTTTTCTGGTGCCGCTGTACTTCAAGATCAGCGCTGCAACCCGCCATAGTGATAATGCGGCTGACGTCACGTTACCAAGGAAAACATGGCGTTTGGCCGTGTTCGCCGCACTTGAGCGCTCTGCCTTTTTCAAAATCTTATTTTGAAGAAAACTTCCAGTCATTTTCAGCACTTGGATTGGAGGCCAGTCACATCGCCATCTGTACGAGGATCTTTATCACGGCCATTGTCTTGTGTCGTTTTGAGCTCAAATAGCTTTCTCTGATGAAGTATTCAGATATCATGACGTTCTCTTTTATCGTGGGCATGAAGCTCCCTATTCGCAGCGGGGATGACATCGGACGGACTACCGTAAAAGCCTCTGTATAACCTGATTCACCAAGGCATGTGGCCGATTAGTTTGCAGGCCTGCCTGCGAATCATGAGGTCCCGAGTTCAAGACCCGCGCTGGTAGCAGGGAGCATGTAAAAAGACTGTTTATGCGTGTTGAACTGCGCCGACACCCATGGTCAACTGGGTACTCACAGCTCGGAGTGAGAATAAGAAGGATGCAGTTTACAGGGTCATGGGCCGTTACACGCTCGATTGGTTGAGGGACTAACCTCCTCTCCCCTGACTCACTTGTGATGTCTGCATTCGCCACTAAGTTTAATAGGCATAGTGGTGGCCTGCGGATGCGAAGGCTAGTTTGTGTGTTTCTGACCGAACATTCAAGCGATGCCGACGCTGATCCCGCGAATATTATAACCCCACTCGAAGTTACGCCCACCCTCCGTGTACACGCCTAGTCAGGGGAAGTCAAAAGTTTTGTTTCAAAATAGCGCCCATGCCCATGTATACGCCCAGGTATGCCGGCAACACCAGTACATGTACAGGTACTGATACCCAATACTTACTGCTATCCCAAAATCCCAGTATACGCCTGGTTCCAAAATAACGCCCGTGCCCTTGTATACGCCCAGAAAATCGAGGCTGCTATTCTATACACCCAGGGCCGATACACGGGCTTTTACGGCAAATGTGTTAAGTCGCGAGCAGGAGTTCTGCTGACCTAAGTGATTAGCTGGGCGTGACCTGGGTCACGTGAGGACTCCAGTTCTAGTTGGGCAAAACCCCACGCACACATCTACTGTGTTCTGATCTAGCTCAAAGCGCGGAGTCGATTGAGAAAAATGACCAACATCATAAAGAAGGCTTGTTTGCTTCCACAACATGTTTTAGTAGCTGAGTCCATGCACTGAAAACTGCACTTGCCTTGTTTCTGTACAGTACAGTACATCAGTACAGAGTGCACTTGCAAGTCACAATGACACAAGCACAGTAGCTTGTACACACTCAGTTGTGACCAGCAATCTCTAGTGGGAGTCAAGTGCCCTACTCAAGTGCATGCATGATTGGCTCTCGTGCAGGTAGATCTACAGTGCATCTGGTATGATGCACTACATGTACTGCGTAGCGTGCATTCAAGTAGTTTCACAGGCATTTATGTGTAGGAGACAATGTGGCTATTTTGAAACAGCAATGACAGCTTCATCCATAAACGAGGAGCGTGGGGAATGTCTTCAGCGAATGAGAGCTGTTGCATTGGCTAGCTGTACATCCCAGCAAGCGGGAATGTGCTGGATATCGATTGTAAACACCCAGGCTTCGCGGTGGTGAGTCTGAGCAGACCCCGAGGTACGACTACTTCGTATACTAAATGTGTACAGTGTGTATGGTGAAACAAGTCGACACTGGTTTCCAGCGAAATGCTGTCATCTATGTACAATATCCACCAATATGCTTTATCTAGGGCCCAAAGGCTGTCCAATTCATCAGGATTTGTGGCCTTACTATTTTTCGTTTTCTCCGCGTTTTGGGTTGAAATCTTAACATAAAAAGTAGCACTGATGACGTCATTCTGCTCAGAATTGAAATTTGATACCGGGAATCGATGACAACTAACCCTATGGATCGACAGAAAATTTGGTTGAAAAATATTGATGTATGCCAAAGTTATTACCAATACAAGTTTTGTCAGGGGCGTCACCCGTGAGGAGCACGGGGACACGTGCACCCCCTAAAACATTCGACCTTGTTTTTTTGCAAACTGCTGGTTATGAAAAGTGTAGTGCTGGTAGAATCTACTAATAAACTGCATACACTAAAACTAGTTTTACTGCGCTGCTGCGATCGCGTGAGTGCATGTAGCGAGTGCATGTAGCGAGTGCATGTAGCGAGTGCATGTAGCGAGTGCATGTAGCGAGTGCATGTAGCGAGTGCATGTAGCGAGTGCATGTAGCGAGTGCATGTAGGGAGTGCATGTAGCGAGTGCATGTAGAGAGTGCATGTAGCGAGTGCATGTAGCGAGTGCATGTAGCGAGTGCATGTACATGACCGATTGCACTAGTACTCTACTACTACTACTGCTACTAATTTAGTATTTAAAGTTACCTACTACGCACGTAGATCTACGCCCGTGCACGTGTGCGCATGCAGTGCTGCATCCTTTGGCCTTGTACTGGAATCTACACGCGTGTCGGCATTCTGGGTGTTTGTTTGAAACAGAAGAAACACACAATTCAGGACACACAGAACACACATGACCTATTCCGTCATCGCCCCTGCTGTTCCAAACCTGCTCAACCCCCCATGGGGTCCGCATAGCCAGAATATGGTATCGTGTCCAAGGTCCAAGGTGTGTGTGTTGTTGTTATTGTTGAAATTTTATTTTGTATCGCTGACCAAACGGGCAATGGTGACCAATATTATGATGGCGATAAAAGTAACGGCCGGAAGCCAAGGATACAACAAGCAAGCCTCCACGAAAGAGAGAAAAACACAGAAAACACAGACTGCAAATACTCAAAAAGAAAATAGACAAGGGAAAATAAGAAAAACGAAGAAGAAGAAAAAGTATGAGGGAAAAAGGAAAGAAGAACAAAAGACAAACATAACGAAAAAATGCACAGTTGAGTCACAGTTGAGTCACAGTTGAGTCATGATTCCAAGTGCAAACCTAGATGCTGGCTAGCCATAAAATATACCTTTAAAAGTCTCTTGAATGATCTATGGCAGGCGAGGGACTTGAACTCTTGGGGCAGGGCGCTCCATAATCTAACAGCAGAAACGAGCGGCCGACAGTCACCAGAGACATGCCTCGTGGCAGGGAGAACATACGCATTTGGATCATTGATCCGAGTGACGCCTTCAGTATGGCCACGTAGGCGCTTGCACAGAAGATTGCTAATTCTGGAGGTGTGGATACGAAGCATGAGGAGGCGGAGTTTACAGTGGGTGTTTCGGATGATGGGGATGAGGCCAAGACGGGCGTAGATCGGATCTGTGTTGGAGGGGAATGGCTGGTTGGCAACGCAGCGGATACATCGCTTGTTGAGAGAGAGAGAGAGTGTGTGTGTGTGTGTGTGTGTGTGTGTGTGTGTGTTTGTATATACATGTATATGTATATGTGTGTGTGTGTACTTGTGTACTTGTGCATTGGTACATGGGTGCATACACATGTGTGTGCATATGAGAGTGTGTTTATGGGTACCTATCTTATCATGTATATAGGTGAACAAGATACAACTGCAGCATGTGAACGCATAGTGGAAATGCAAAACCAGACCAACACAACTGTTCGTCAACTACAGGAGCAAAGTGCTACAACCTCCACAAGCATTGGACAACTACTGGAGCACCAGCAAGACACTAGTGATAAGGTTTCACGTGTCTCAGCAGCTGTTACCACCATTCAACAAGGTGAGTACATTTTTTCCAAGGTCTACAGTAAAACCTATAACTAAAGATCAGTGTGCCTAGTGACCAGTCTACCCCTACTGACCAGTGTGACTAGTGACCAGTCTATCCCTACTGACCAGTGTGACTAGTGACCAGTCTATCCCTACTGACCAGTGTGACTAGTGACCAGTCTACCCCTACTGACCAGTGTGACTAGTGACCAGTCTACCCCTACTGACCAGTGTGACTAGTGACCAGTCTATCCCTACTGACCAGTGTGACTAGTGACCAGTCTATCCCTACTGACCAGTGTGACTAGTGACCAGTCTATCCCTACTGACCAGTGTGACTAGTGACCAGTCTACCCCTACTGACCAGTGTGCCTAGTGACCAGTCTATCCCTACTGACCAGTGTGACTAGTGACCAGTCTATCCCTACTGACCAGTGTGACTAGTGACCAGTCTACCCCTACTGACCAGTGTGACTAGTGACCAGTCTATCCCTACTGACCAGTGTAACTAGTGACCAGTCTACCCCTACTGACCAGTGTGACCAGTGACCAGTCTACCCCTACTGACCAGTGTGACTAGTGACCAGTCTATCCCTACTGACCAGTGTGACTAGTGACCAGTCTATCCCTATTGACCAGTGTGACTAGTGACCAGTCTATCCCTACTGATCAGTGTGACTAGTGACCAGTCTATCCCTACTGACCAGTGTGACTAGTGACCAGTCTATCCCTACTGACCAGTGTGACTAGTGACCAGTCTACCCCTACTGACCAGTGTGACTAATGACCAGTCTACCCCTACTGACCAGTGTGACTAGTGACCAGTCTATCCCTACTGACCAGTGTGACTAGTGACCAGTCTATCCCTACTGACCAGTGTGACTAGTGACCAGTCTATCCCTATTGACCAGTGTGACTAGTGACCAGTCTATCCCTACTGATCAGTGTGACTAGTGACCAGTCTACCCCTACTGACCAGTGTGACTAGTGACCAGTCTATCCCTACTGACCAGTGTGACTAGTGACCAGTCTACCCCTACTGACCAGTGTGACTAGTGACCAGTCTACCCCTACTGACCAGTGTGACTAGTGACCAGTCTATCCCTACTGACCAGTGTGACTAGTGACCAGTCTACCCCTACTGACCAGTGTGACTAGTGACCAGTCTATCCCTACTGATCAGTGTGACTAGTGACCAGTCTATCCCTACTGACCAGTGTGACTAGTGACCAGTCTACCCCTACTGACCAGTGTGACTAGTGACCAGTCTATCCCTACTGACCAGTGTGACTAGTGACCAGTCTATCCCTACTGACCAGTGTGACTAGTGACCAGTCTACCCCTACTGACCAGTGTGACTAGTGACCAGTCTACCCCTACTGACCAGTGTGACTCGTGACCAGTCTACCCCTACTGACCAATGTGACTAGTGACCAGTCTATCCCTACTGACCAGTGTGACTAGTGACCAGTCTACCCCTACTGACCAGTGTGACTAATGACCAGTCTATCCCTACTGACCAGTGTGACTAGTGACCAGTCTACCCCTACTGACCAGTGTGACTAGTGACCAGTCTACCCCTACTGACCACTTTGTCAGGCATGTACACTGTCATATTCAAAAGTCACTGTGACTTGCGACAGCCTTGTGAAAGAACAGTAACCAACTTGTCTTGTCTTTCGGGCGGGGGGGGGGGGGGGGCGGATGGGCTGCGAGAGGGGAAGGGGGGGGGGATTGTGTGTGTGTATGTGATTTTGTATATATATGGTTGTATACATGCATGCATGTGTAGTTAAATGTTGGGTTAGCTTTGGGGCTAGCTGCGACTGAGCAGGCTTTACACGTTCACTTAACTGCTGCGCATGCGCGCCAAAATGCGCACCCAAATCGCCTTGGGTAGCTCTTGCTGTGCTGACTTTGGCTTTGGCTTTCCTTTGCAGTGTCACTGAGCAGCAACCGGAATATGTTTGCTGAGCAGCAACTGGAACTTGTTTGAGGAGAATAGAATTATTTATTCAGACTCCTTGTAGTTTCCTCGCAGCCATTTACTGCAGGACAAACATGTTGTCTTCCTTTGAAGCACGTCGTATGAACGTGTCGGACTTGCGGGCCGAACTGGACGGCCGTGGGATGATTTCGAGCGGAACAAAGCCCCAGCTTCTTGCCCGTTTCCTCTCAGTATCAAGGAGGCGTCGAGCTCGGCGGCACGGGAACCTCGATCCCCGTCTGCCACGCCGACCTTGCGGCAGGAGCACGAGCAGGAGCAAGAGCAGAATCTGGAGAGTGTTTCACCAGCTTCTCCGACTCCCCAAATCCCTGACCGGAGTAGGAATGACGATTTCCACCAGTTTGTGCGGCAGGAAGTACATTCTGCCGTCACCGTTGCCTTGTCTGAGGCCATCGCTCCAATGCTGGCCATCATCACTGCCCCTGGATCTGGAACTCAACCTTCGGTGGAGTCTTCCAATGCTGGTAATCTATCCGTTCCCCAGACTATACGACTGAAAATATTGAACGATGACTTTGTAGATTTCATCCAGCTGCTGCCCGATACTTTTGCCACCTCTTATCCTGCCCCACGCCAGCTTCAGCTGCAGTTCAGCAGTGGCGGCCAGTCTTTGGAAGTGGTGGAACTAGTCTACCCCTACTGACCAGTGTGACTCGTGCCCAGTCTACCCCTACTGACCAGTGTGGCTAGTGACCAGTCTACCCCTACTGACCAGTGTGGCTAGTGACCAGTCTACCCCTACTGACCAGTGTGACTAGTGACCAGTCTATCCCTACTGACCAGTGTGACTAGTGACCAGTCTACCCCTACTGACCAGTGTGACTAGTGACCAGTCTACCCCTACTGACCAGTGTGACTAGTGACCAGTCTATCCCTACTGACCAGTGTGACTAGTGACCAGTCTACCCCTACTGACCAGTGTGACTAGTGACCGGTCTACCCCTACTGACCAGTGTGACTAGTGACCAGTCTACCCCTACTGACCAGTGTGACTAGTGACCAGTCTATCCCTATTGACCAGTGTGGCTAGTGACCAGTCTATCCCTACTGACCAGTGTGACTAGTGACTGGTCTACCCCTACTGACCAGTGTGACTAGTGACCAGTCTATCCCTACTGACCAGTGTGACTAGTGACCAGTCTATCCCTACTGACCAGTGTGACTAGTGACCAGTCTACCCCTACTGACCAGTGTGACTAGTGACCAGTCTACCCCTACTGACCAGTGTGACTAGTGACCAGTCTATCCCTACTGACCAGTGTGACTAGTGACCAGTCTATCCCTACTGACCAGTGTGACTAGTGACCAGTCTACCCCTACTGACCAGTGTGACTAGTGACCAGTCTACCCCTACTGACCAGTGTGACTAGTGACCAGTCTATCCCTACTGACCAGTGTGACTAGTGACCAGTCTATCCCTACTGACCAGTGTGACTAGTGACCAGTCTACCCCTACTGACCAGTGTGACTAGTGACCAGTCTATCCCTACTGACCAGTGTGACTAGTGACCAGTCTACCCCTACTGACCAGTGTGACTAGTGACCAGTCTACCCCTACTGACCAGTGTGACTAGTGACCAGTCTACCCCTTCTGACCAGTGTGACTCGTGCCCAGTCTATCCCTACTGACCAGTGTGGCTAGTGACCAGTCTACCCCTACTGACCAGTGTGACTAGTGACCAGTCTATCCCTACTGACCAGTGTGACTAGTGACCAGTCTACCCCTACTGACCAGTGTGACTAGTGACCAGTCTACCCCTACTGACCAGTGTGACTAGTGACCAGTCTACCCCTTCTGACCAGTGTGACTCGTGCCCAGTCTACCCCTACTGACCAGTGTGGCTAGTGACCAGTCTACCCCTACTGACCAGTGTGACTAGTGACCAGTCTATCCCTACTGACCAGTGTGACTAGTGACCAGTCTACCCCTACTGACCAGTGTGACTAGTGACCAGTCTACCCCTACTGACCAGTGTGACTAGTGACCAGTCTATCCCTACTGACCAGTGTGACTAGTGACCAGTCTATCCCTACTGACCAGTGTGACTAGTGACCAGTCTATCCCTACTGACCAGTGTGACTAGTGACCAGTCTACCACTACTGATCAGTGTGACTAGTGACCAGTCTACCCCTACTGACCAGTGTGACTAGTGACCAGTCTACCCCTACTGACCAGTGTGACTAGTGACCAGTCTATCCCTACTGACCAGTGTGACTAGTGACCAGTCTACCACTACTGACCAGTGTGACTAGTGACCAGTCTACCCCTACTGACCAGTGTGACTAGTGACCAGTCTACCCCTGCTAACCAGTGTGACTAGTGACCAGTCTACCCCTACTGACCAGTATGACTAGTGACCAGTCTACCCCTACTGCCCAGTGTGATTAGTGACCAGTCTATCCCTACTGACCAGTGTGACTAGTGACCAGTCTATCCCTACTGACCAGCGTGACTAGTGACCAGTCTACCCCTACTGACCAGTGTGACTAGTGACCAGTCTATCCCTACTGACCAGTGTGACTAGTGAGCAGTCTACCCCTACTGACCAATGTGACTAGTGACCAGTCTACCCCTACTGACCAGTGTGACTAGTGACCAGTCTATCCCTACTGACCAGTGTGACTAGTGACCAGTCTATCCCAACTGACCAGTGTGACTAGTGACCAGTCTATCCCTACTGACCAGTGTGACTAGTGACCAGTCTACCCCTACTGACCAGTGTGACTAGTGACCAGTCTATCCCTACTGACCAGTGTGACTAGTGACCAGTCTATCCCTACTGACCAGTGTGACTAGTGACCAGTCTACCCCTACTGACCAGTGTGACTAGTGACCAGTGTATCCCTACTGACCAGTGTGACTAGTGACCAGTCTACCCCTACTGACCAGTGTGACTAGTGACCAGTCTACCCCTACTGACCAGTGTGACTAGTGACCAGTCTACCCCTTCTGACCAGTGTGACTCGTGCCCAGTCTACCCCTACTGACCAGTGTGGCTAG